CAGTATCTGAAGAACGACTGGAACAGATCAAGAAAGAAACAGCGATTGACCAGACCATGAAGACCCTGTTCTCAACAATCCAAAGGGGATGGCCAGAGACAAGAAAACAAACACCTTGCGAAATCCATGACTACTGGAATTATCGTGACGAGCTTTCAGAAGTAGATGGAATCTTGTTGAAGCAAGACAAGATTATCATACCCCTCAGTATGAGAGGAAAGATGCTAGAAAGAATACACGAGAGTCACATGGGCATAGAGAAATCCAAACGACGAGCAAGGGACATTATGTTTTGGCCAAGAATGAATGAGCATATTGAAGCTGTTGTATCCAAATGCAAAACCTGCCAAGAATACCAGATGTCGAATCCCAAAGAACCTATGGTGCAAGGAACAATACCATCGAGACCCTGGGAAATGGTCGCAACTGATTTGTTTCGGTGGGAACAGAACAACTATCTGATCGTGGCAGATTATTATTTGCGTTATATTGAAGTAGTCAAGTTGGAAAACACCACTAGCAGAACTGTGTGAATCATATGAAGTCCATATTTGCAACACATGGAATTCCATCAGTCGTAAGAAGTGACAATGGTCCTCAGTACACTGCCACGGAGTACAAGCAGTTCGCACAAAAGTGGAATTTCGAGCATCAGACTTCAAGTCCATATTATCCGAGTTCAAATCGTGAAACGTTTGCTATCGAAAGCAAAACAAGATGGAAAAGATCCGTACCTAAGTTTGTTGGAGTATCGCAACACACCCATTCGTAACGTGGCTTCACCAGCACAAATCTTGATGAGCCGACGTTTGCGTTCGCACTTACCAACTACCCCAAATCAACTTCAGCCAAAAGTTGTTGATTGAATGAGAGAATGAAAGAACAATTCGAAGAAAAACAAAGAAAGCAAAAACGATATTATGACAGAGGGTCCACAGAGCTTCCCGCGATGCAACAAGGAGAAGCAGTACGAGTACAAGTACAGAATAAGTGGAAACCAGCAGTGATCAAAGAGAAACTGGAAACACCTAGATCGTACATCATTCACTCACCCAATGGTCAACGATTTAGAAGAAACAGAAATCATATCAGAAAGCAGAAGTATGGTGTTCACAAATCAAGACAGTGGGAACCAATTGAAGATTTCCAGTCTGATGGTGCCAGAGAAGTTCGTGAGGAACAAGTCTCAGAGCCAAGTACTGAACAATATTATAAAACTAGAAGCGGACGATTGAGTAAGCCACCTGAGAGATATCAAGCATGTTAATTTAGTAAATTAAAGTTATGATGAACATATTATTTACGAGACATTTAGATTTAGATTTAGATTGACTATTAAGTTAAATATATAATGGTTATATATAATGAACATTAGTCGTGAACTGGTATTATTAAGTAATATCATCGAAGAGTAATAGACACTTAGTTTAATTAGAGACCTTACAATTTTAAATAACTTTAAAATTAAAAATAAGAAGAGAGAATTGTAATATATTCAGTATATGTGCATGCTAATTAGATTCATGTATATAAGGGTTGTTTTTGTAACATAATAACAACCTAATAACATAACAATGTCCTGTGAAAATTTGAGACAAATTGGTTAAAACCGGCAGGAGCACAACTCGTTTGAAAATCAGTAATTACCGTAAACTTTTTCGGGAGAAAATTGAATTTGAATATTACATTTTCAATGTTTTTCTTATTGCTGCGAAATGTATTTTATTAAATAACTCTACGAGTTTTCAACATTTTTCGTTCAAACTTGGTCAGATAGTAGAACTAGTCTAATGCTTTCATGCAAACCAATAAAAAAAATTTAGGCAAAATTAACACTCAAAGGTGTTCTGTAACCTTAAAGAGTTCATCATAAATTTGGCTAATGTTTGTTTAATATACAAGTCAGATCCTTATATGTTTTTTATATTTTAGGACTTCAGAATCTTCAAAAACATTTGTACATGGGCGAGTGAATACTGTCCTTCAAACTCTGGTAACCGGTATGCAACGAGAGTTGCAAAGAACGAAGAAACTCCGAATATCCTGGAAACGGGAGAAGAAATTCTGTCACAGAAATGAACCATAAATACCCATATCAACGTGTATTTGATTTAAATAATTTGATGAAATAAATTGAGAAATAAGAACGAAAGACGAAAGAATATGTTGTTATATCTATTTGATTTTATGTTGTAATAATAAAAATGCAATTCGAAGATTATTTAATATATTGCCTATAAATTATGTTACCCTTTGTTAATCTTGTATCAGGATATTTTATAGTTATATACTTGTTGTATTCAGTGTATTCACGCAGTAATGAATTCGCACAGACGCATTGTTCTGTTATCAGCAGAGGTTCGCTATTTCATAGGTGCGCGATTTCAAATTAAAGATGTGCTCTGTAACATGCGATATACAAAAATATCCCTGGATAAATATTTCCACATCCATGCAGTGACGCAAAAGACGAAGAGGATATTAGAAATTATTATTTATTGCAAATAATTCAAAAGTCTTGATTGGCTAAGAGCTGTCTGTGAAATCGTCATATCCACTTGGTAGCTTCCCAAATTTGGAGTTATGACATCACCGTGGAATATGGAAAACAAATTTACCACGTTTGACGTAATTTCGTGTTATATTGAAAAACAATGTAACATGCTATGACGCCAAGCTAATTTATGCGGCTTATACCAAAAGCGGGAAAGTACAAAAGGTGAGAAAAGGGAATGGAAAATACAACGAAAGGTTCATATTTTGGGGAAAATAAAAAGGAAAGGTTCGCCAACATTGGGGAAGATGAAATTAAAAATAAATAAATAATAATAATATATAACTAATAGAACAGTTATTGAATTCGGTTCTCGCAGGATATGAGGAATTATTATGGCCTTGGTTTGCGTTATCTGCCTCATGCAACCTTCGGCTTATTAAGGCGAGCGTTCCAAGCAGTGACTGGAGAGATGTGCAGGTTTGAATTACTTTTGTAGATGCATGGAAATTTGGAAACAAAAGTATATCATACATATTCAGAATAAAAGGAAGTAGTTTCAGAAACGTCATATACAAACATCAGTCGAGATTTGTAGTGCTATCAAGCTTTACACAAAATATATCGCAAAAAGTAATAGTAACATTATTGATGGGTTTTCTAGATAAAAATTATCGAGTGTAAATTTATATACATTTATTAGACCTAACCATGCAGAAACAGCTGCGAAAAATGCAACTATACGTACTCTGCCAGGAATCGAACCTGCAGCCCTGTGATTTCGATGCAGCGCTCTAACCAACTCAATATACATAGCACAGTTGTTGAGCTCTAACCACAAGTTCATGAATACAAGATTGTGTTGGCATCTCACTCGATTGAATTATGGTTGGTGGATTATGTAAATGGCATTATCGGGTGCAACGGAATCGCAGGGCCGCATGTTCAATTCCTTCGCAGCTGTTCCTGGTTAGGTCTAATAAATGTACGTAAAATTACCTGGTCAGTGTCAGCATTGTCTGTATTTCGGTGTTGACTCACTGAGTTCGTTAAGAATGACGAGGTTGGGACTGCACACAAATGACGTCATTTCAGAAGAGCGGGGGCGAGCCCGTGAGCTAACGTGTAAACCAATTAGTGACGCTAACAGTGTTGATTATCTAATTGGCATAAAGTTGTTTTACGATGTGAAAACGAGCAAAATGCATCTTTTTTATAGTTTGTGCGTTTTCGCCCTCAGCGTTCTATTTGTAAGCGATTAATTTGTGCTCGGCTGTGTTGCAGCTAACTCATGCCTACCCCGCGGGCAGTTCCTGTTTTTTCCCCTGAAGTAGACGGTAAGATACATGAGTTTGCGAGCGCAATTGCTACGGCGCAAATTGCTGTTTTAATTCAAGTCAAGTCAAGTCAATTTATTTTGCAAAAAAAAAAAATTAAAAAAATACAACATTCATAAATAAATAAATTATACTGGCAAGGAGCCCAAGAGAAACCATAAGGCTTATACATTTTGCGCTACCTTTTTCATCCTGATCAAGCCAGAGAGACACACAATTACACATAATTACATATAGCTAATACAAACTAATACAAATTAAAGTACAATTAATTATAAGAGGAAAAGAAAAAGTGATAAATGGACAGAAAACTATAAATTTAATAAGTATTCTTTTAGTCTTTGTCTAAAACAGCCAACAGATGAAGCATCGCGAATATCATGACTGAGTGAATTAAACAATTTTACACCTTGGTAGTTAACAGAAGATTGTCTAATATTTGTTCTACATAATGGAATGGAATATAAATTCAAATTCCGCGTATTATACGCATGGATTTCACTAACTCGATGAAAAAAAGTATTAAAATTGAGTGGTAACCTTTGTTTATGATACAGGAACATAAATTTACCTAAGTGAAACAAATACACTTGATGGAAAGTCAGCAACTCAAGTTCTTTTAAAATAGGCTCTGTATGAGCGTCATATACCTCGTGGTTTATTATTCTAATAACACGCTTTCGCAACAACACAATACGATTTAAATTTGACGGATAAGTGGAGCCCCAGACTAGTATACAATATTGCATATATGGATAAATAAGAGAATAGTATAACAAAACTAACGACGATTTAGAAACGTAAAAGCTTGCTTTTTTTATAATCCCAATCGATTTCGAAATTTTCCTGGCTAGTTACGATATATGGGATTTCCACGTGAGATGTTCATCTAGGATCACCCCGAGAAAACTAATCTCTTTTACTAATAATTTTACTTGTCTTGGTCTGAAAATCATGAAATGGGTCTTGTTTAAGTTAATGGATAACTTATTACATGAAAACCAAACAGATAATTTATGTAACTCTTGATTAACATGTTCAGATAAGGAGGAAAGATCTCTATTCGCATAAAACAAATTTGTATCGTCAGCAAATAGAACAAACTGAAACACACTGGAAACATTACAGATATTACAGATATCATTAACATATAACAAGAAAAGTAATGGTCCTAATATTGAGCTTGTGGTACGCCACACTCGATAATCTTTTTTTGAGAACATGCACCATTGTATTGAAGAAACTGCTGTCTATTACTAAAGTAACTCCTAAACCAGTGTAAGGCTTTCCCTCGGATACCGTAATGTTGGATTTTTGCAAACAAAATATTATGATTAACTGTGTCAAAAGCCTTAGACAAGTCTAAGAAAATTCCAATTGTAAACTCATTTCTTTCTATTGCTGAAGAGATTTTGTCATATAATAATAATAATAATAATAACAGTCTTTATTAATCAATACTCGGAACACACGTCCGAGTTTACATGGAATTATAAGAATATAGTCTATTTTACATTAATTATTTACATCAATAATTTAATAAAACTAGTAAAATTCTACAATATTGTTAAAAATTATTAAAATGTATCATACACTAGATAAAATTGAAAAGACATCTATTTACAAAAGATTTTTTAAATCTTTCAGTTCTTACTAAGGGCAGCTCAAAGTCATGTCTTAACGTTCGATTTAATTTATTTGGTAAAAGTTCTCTTAGTGCATTATTTTCATCATCTAATATTTTTTTCCAGAATCTCTTGTCTCTCTTATTAATTATTTCTCTAAAATTAGATTTCTCTGTTACATACCCATTACGGTATGCACGATTTATAAACTTATCAATCTGACTAATGTATTTAGTGTAAGATGCTCCTCCCCAAAGTTCAGTTCCGAAAGTGAATAATGACATTATTAAACTCTGAAAGAAAAGTTCTAACTGCTTTGTTGTAAAACCATAATATTTACACACCCGTAAAATGTACATTCGACAACTCGCTTTTTTAAGCATCTCTTCGTAGTGTATGTCCCAATTTTCCGGTATTTCCTCAAGGGTAATTCCAAGTATCTTGAGCCATGTTTTCCGTTTGATGGACGGAATGCAACTGGGTATAGAGGTATAGATGTTCTGTCACGAACAATCATTTCATATGTTTTATTCATATTCAGCACCATTCGATTTTCATCCGACCATAATTTCATATTTTCTACCTCTTCAGCACCTGTATCATCCTCATCATAGCCCGGGGCTTCTATTGTTATATCATCAACGAATTTACAGAGTTCATTGATTGGATTGACTGGTTTAAAGTCATTTACCATTATTGAAAATAGTATCGGGCCTAGGACAGTCCCCTGAGGCACGCCACGATTAATTTTCAAGAACTCGGTTGTGATGCCATTAACTGTTACTCTCTGTTTGCGATATTTAAGAAATCTATTATCCAATTTATGATGTACGGGTTAAAAGGCAATTTCTTAACTTTTCCAAATAGTATGTCGTGTGGAACGCTGTCAAAAGCCTTGCTAAAGTCAAATGATAGTACTCTCACATATTTCACACCATTATCCAACCCTTTCAACCACGTATGTTGACATTTAACTAAAGCCATCGTTGAGTTATGTTCCACTTTATATGCGTATTGGTCAGAATCGATTGAGTGATATATAACATCTGCGATCTCATTTTTGTATATACATCTCTCAAATAACCTCATTATGATGTCTGTTAGTGAGATAGGTCTCAGTTCAGAACTTGAGTTGATAACATTTTCTTTTGGTATTGGAACTATATTCGCTCTCTTCAATATTTCAGGGACTTTTCCAACTTTCAGAGATACGTTAAATATTTTTGTTATAGCTGGAGCTAATTCAGCTGCGAATGTCTTCCAGAACCAATGTGGTAGATCGTCCAGGCCAGATGATGAACGCTTCTGTTTTCTTAGGAAGTTATAGACAATATCGACAGAAAGAAACGGAATTCTAGTTCCCTCTGGAATTTCTAGTAACTGAGGGGCTGAATAATTAGGGTCAGTGTTAACAGTTTGAAAGTAGGCATTTATAACATTCGGATCAATCAGAGAGCTAACAGGTGCAGAATTTTTCTCTTTCCTGCCAGTAATGTTATTAACATTATTCCACCATTTCTTTGTTCCAGTTTTATGATTTTGGTTCTCATTTTGAACAGCATTAAGTTGATTGGCGCGAATTAGTGTGTTAATTTGATTTTGTAAACGAAAAGTAGATTCTTCATTACCTACAGGGGCGGATCTAGGGGTTGTCAAATAAGTCGCGCGACTAACGTAAAAATTGCGCAGATAATTACTGATTCATAAAAGTGTCCAGTACTCCAGTTTTAATCCTTCCTGCAGTGATAGCAAGTGTAAATAATATTCACAATAGTCCGTTATCAAGTTTCATTCAGCGGTTGTAAGCTCAGTGGCCTTGACTTACTTGAGGCAGATTCTAGCCATTTGATTGGTCGAGAATGGTTTTGCCTCATCTTCGTGGGGGTCTGCCTTATTTACGTCATCTATGGGGTATCTGATTGGCTGATTGAAGGAGAATTCTCCTCTCTCATTGGTTCAACTTTTTTGTCTCATCTTCGTGGGGGTCTGCCTTATTTGCGCAATATTTGAAGTTCTGATTGGTCGAAAAAGACCAAATTCTCTTCTCTCATTGGCTCATACTTTTTGCCTCATCTGACTCATTCGGAAAGTTTATTCACCGCGAAGATTAAATTGACGTACGAGTACGACGACAATATAAAATGTATGCGTAATAATACTCAGTGGTTCCCGCAATATAAAGTTTATACGAGACTGTCCAATCTAGAAATGGTGAACACAGATCTTTTAAAGCATATCAATACTTCAATACAAGATCGATATATCGAAGAGCTTTTAGCCGCTATTCATACCAAGTCTATCTACAACTATATCACCAGAACCAGTCTCGCTAGAGATTTCAATTCGGTCTCGTCCACCACAATAGAAATGTACAGCGATAAGATTAGGAGATTATATTTATATTTTAGTTCATAGTCTGGTACTAAGTAAGCTTTAAAACCTGCTTAAAGTGTGCTTATTGTATATATTTGTTTTGCCCACAAAAGATATTTACAAATTAAGTAATTTAGAATATTTACAATAGTATATGGGGGCTAGGAACCTTTGGAAATCCTGTTGGACTTTTAGATAAGGGCCCTAGTTTTGAAAAATTAATTACAAGTAAACAACTATTACAAATGTTGACAAATAAGGCAGTATATATGACGATTATTTACATAAAATAGTTAAAAGAATAAGGAGATAAAATTTGACTTTATTTTACAGTATTTGTATTAAGCAGATAGTAAGTAATAGGATTTTATTTTTTTCTTAAAAGAGAAATACGATTTGATATTTTTCATATTTTCATTGAGACCATTCCATAAAGAGACGCCTTTGTTGAACACAGTATATTTACGATAATTAGTTCTTTGAAAGTTCACGTGTAACTTAGTGGAATTACGTGTATTATAGTTGTGTAATTCACTGTTTTGTTTAAAATAATCACAATAAAAGTCCGGCAAATTATTTTGATAATAAAAGAATCGATACATAAATATACTACATAGATAATCATTAATTTTGTAGACATTTAAGATTTTCAAGTCAAAAAATAATGGTTCAGAATGTCGGAATAAGATTTAAAACAAATTAATCGAACAATTTTCTTTTGTACATTCATTAATTTTTGCAATCTTGTGGGATATGTATTTCCCCAAACAAGATTCCCCGTGAGGTATGGATAAACTAATGCGTAGTAAATCAATTTTAAAGTGTCTCTATTTGTATGATGTCTAATTAGTTTAGCGATCAGACCTGTACATTTAATAATAGTTTTCAGAACTGAGCTGATGTGGTTCTTCCATGTCAACTCTTCGTCAATTATAACTCCCAGAAACTTTACAAACGTCACTTGCTTAACCAAATCATTATTTATTTTGATTGTATTATCAGTATTCAGTAAAGACTTATTTTTTTATTTAAAAATTACAAACTTTGTCTTAGAAGCGTTGATTGATAATTTATTGGCATTGAGCCATTTCACAACCTTATTCATTTCATTTTGTATTGTATTATACAAAGTTTTCAAGCACGAATTTGAATAGAAAGCATTCGTATCATCTGCATATACTGTAATACGAACGAAAGTATATCACTACAGCTTTCGATGTCGTTGATGTATAAAAGAAATATTGACGGCGGTAATAAGATGTAAAAGCGGTTTGGCTGCTTAAATTAACTGTGTATAACCATAGTTAAACTATAGAGTATAAACCGCTTTTGTGTTCGTTTATATTTGTATCGGGCAATATTTAATTGATGTATTAGTAGCGACAGAATCTGGAGATTTTGAGATTGCATGGTCGGTGTTATGCTGTGTTGTAATACGATATCTAGAAGTAAGCTGATTTTGTGATTGTTCGTGTGAAATCTTGTTGAGAATTGCCTCCGAGATAATCCTCAACACAATAGTTTCTTTTAGCTTTTATTCGACGCTACGAACTATCCTAATTTCGCAAAATCTCTCACTAAAAAACCTCCCACTAATCACTATACAATAGCAACAACCATGCAGTGTATTCTGTAACTTTCCGATTCATTACTGTTCTGACTCGCGCGTCCCACGTGTGAACAAAACATTATTTTATAGTAAATATATTGACTAATAACAGTTTCCGACAATTCGTTTGTTATATAATATGACGTTTTGTTGACAGGAGGGTTAAAAATTTATTGATTAAAAGAACATGCCGATGTGTAAAACAAAATTCCGGTCAATCTCACGACACTACAATATCGTGACAATACAATCGCGTCGGCCGAACAACGAATAGCTTAAAACACTACAACCCCCACAGACAGAAAGTAAAACCCCCGCCCCCCCCCCCGGATGGCAGCAACTCGGAAAAAATTTGACTAACGTACGAAAATTCCTAGATCCGCCCCTGATCACCTACGCCTATAGCTTTCTTCCTTTTTTTCACCAAATACTTTACGAGAGGGGACATAAATGGTGGATCGCGTGACGAGGTTCGGACTTTTATCAGTGGAAAATTGTTCTCAAATCTCGGCCAGAGACTTTCATAAAGTTGTTTCACCATTTCATCAGGGGCTTGGTCATATATTGTTATCTTGGACCAGTCCACATTCTCTAGTTCTCTTAGCATGTTTAATTTTCTATGTTCTCTCACATCCCTAAAGAATGAATTTGTTCTTTTTGCTTTTATAATGTTTCTCGAGTATGCAATAATCATATTATGATCAGTTCTTACCAAACTTTTATTAACTTTTATTTCCTTCCAGTAGTGAGGAGCATTTGTGACAAAAACATCTAAGATATTGTTACCTCTTGTAGATGATCTAACCAACTGTGCAAAAGATAATTGATTAAGTAGGTCGCGAATATTCAATCTGTTTATATCTCCAATAATAATTATCTTCGTATTAGGGTTGTCCGATAATAACTGCTCGCATGAGTCCATTAGGAATTCTATTAAATCGTCTGCATTATAATTATGGTCGGGAGGATGGTATACAGCTGCAACATTAAAACTGGAGTTTTCAGTTGTAATTTTTACCCATAGGCATTCAAACGGTTTATTCATATTTGGTATTTTTTGCATTCTCCAATATTTTCTACAAAGGATTGCCACTCCACCACCACGGGCACCTAATCTATCTTTTCTGATGATGCAGAACTCAGGTGGGCAAATTAGAGAACTGGCTATAGTTGCATTTAGCCATGTTTCTGAAATACAGCAAACATCAATATTGTTGCTCTTGAGTTCCGCATATAACGCTGGGTAGGCATCAGGCTTCACTATTGATCTAGCATTTAACACCAAACACGGTGGAATTTGTTTTGGTTTGCTGGGTCCTTGTCTAGTAACATTTACACGACTTAGATTTCTATAAGAGTAGTAGAGTGGTCTTTGTCTAGACTTTTTACATCTGCTAGAGTTTTTACATCTTCTAGACGATATAATTGAAGTAAGGCTAGAGATGTTGAGTGATTTTTTCTAAATCCATATTGATGTTCAGTAAGAATACCACATTTATCCAAATAGTTCAATAAACGATTGTAGACAAGTCTTTCAAATACTTTAGAAAAAATTGGTAAAACCGAAATAGGTCGACAATTAGATATTATTCTAGTATTCCCCGATTTAAACACTGGTACTACTCTTGCAATTTTTAATTATGAAGAACATATTGATCGATTATGTCGGAAACTCTCGAAACAGCTTGGTCTTCTCAAACACATTAGTCCGTACCTCAAGAAACAGCAAAGGGAGTTGTACTTTAATAGTGTTATAAAGCCTACGATGATGTACGGGAGTGTAATCTGGGATAATTGCAATGCTGAATGTTTTCAAAGAGTATTGAAACTTCAAAAGCGGGCAGCCCGGATTATTTTGGATGCAGAAAGGATGGCACCTTCAATTGTTATGTTTAACACTTTAAATTGGCTTCCTTTTACGAAGGAGTCTTTGATCAAGAGAATAATGTTAGCGTATAAGCGTGTAAATAGTGCTTATAATACTCCTAGCTATCTAAATTAACTTTTAGCGCGAAATTCAGACAGGCATAGTAGGAATACACGTTATTCGAATTTGAATATGCTATGCCCAATTTACAATCGAGGCAGAACCTTCACTGTAAGAACAACTATAGACTGGAACAAATTAGATTTGAACGTTAGAAGTATACATTCTGCTTTTAGCTTTAGGCGTAGTATTTATAAACAGTTTTTAGATGATCAAAAATGTGCAAATAGGTTGCAGCGTTAGGGTCGTGTTCTAATAATTTTAACATTAAATAGGGACTGTGTTCTAATATCTTAAATTTTGTAAATTTTGAGGGTCACAAGTTTATCAGTTTCTAACTGTCACGTGTTACCCTCAGTAAATAAAGCCTTTCACTTCACTTCACTTCACTTCACTTCATTTCACTTCACTTCACCAGATGATAATGACAAATTGACCAGGTGAGTAAGAAAATTGGCAATTAAATCAATAGATTCTTTGACAGCAAATACAGGTATATTATCATAGCCACAAGCTACGCCATTCTTAATAGAATTAACAATCTCAATAATCTCTTGCTCAGTAGTTTCGTCCAAGAACATGCTATTTACAAACTCTCCGGTAAGAAATGAATTTGGAGAAACCGATACATTTTGAATTTTACTTGCTAGATTAGAACCTAGGCTTGAAAAGTATTTACAAAATGCTCCACTCCATCAATAATGAAACTAGATGGACCTTTCTTAACGTGCTTTCGCTTATTAATAATTTCATTCAGAATACTCCACGTCTTTTTACAGTTTGTCCATTTCGGTTTAGTTGCTGCTCATAATAAAGACGTTTTGCTAGTCTTATTGAATGATTCAATTTATTTTTATATCTCTTATAGTTATTAGT